ATCGTAACTACTCTCTTGGCTTTTGTCATTTTAGTACTGCAAATTGGGAAACAAATTAAAAAAAATCACACCATTAAATAGAACACGAATTTGATTTATATCATAAGACATCATTTAAATTTTAAAATAAATAACGAATTAACATCTTAATAGCATGAATTGTGGTTGATCCTACCAGCCAGTTATTTGTATCAAATAATTTGCAATACCACTTTTCAGCTTCCTACTTAAAATACTTTTATGTAAGGACGTTCCAAAAGTGGAAAAGTATTATCCAAATTATCGTAACTACTCTCTTGGCTTTTGTCATTTTAGTACTGCAAATTGGAAACAAATTTAAAAAATGACACAATTAAATAGAACACGAATTTGATTTATATCATAAGACCTCATTTAAATTTTAAAACAAATAACGAATTAACATCTTAATAGCATGAATTGTGGTTGATCCTACAAGCTAGTAATTTGTATTTAACAATTTGTAATACCACTTTTCAGCTTCCTTCTTAAAATACTTTTATGTAAGGACGTTCCAAAAGTGGAAAAGTATTATCCAAATTATCGTAACTACTCTCTTGGCTTTTGTCATTTTAGTACTGCAAATTTGGAAACAAATTTAAAAAATGACACAATTAAATAGAACACGAATTTGATTTATATCATAAGACATCATTTAAATTTTAAAATAAATAACGAATTAACATCTTAATAGCATGAATTGTGGTTGATCCTACCAGCTAGTTATTTGTATTAAATAATTTGCAATACCACTTTTCAGCTTCCTACTTAAAATACTTTTATGTAAGGACGTTCCAAAAGTGGAAAAGTATTATCCAAATTATCGTAACTACTCTCTTGGCTTTTGTCATTTTAGTACTGCAAATTGGGAAACAAATTTAAAAAAATCACACAATTAAATAGAACACGAATTTGATTTATATCATAAGACCTCATTTAAATTTTAAAATAAATAACGAATTAACATCTTAATAGCATGAATTGTGGTTGATCCTACCAACTAGTTATTTCTTATACCACTTTTCAGCTTCCTACTTAAAATACTTTTATGTAAGGACGTTCCAAAAGTGGAAAAGTATTATCCAAATTATCGTAACTACTCTCTTGGCTTTTGTCATTTTAGTACTGCAAATTTGGAAACAAATTTAAAAAAATCACACCATTAAATAGAACACGAATTTGATTTATATCATAAGACATCATTTAAATTTAAAAATAAATAACGAATTAACATCTTAATAGCATGAATTGTGGTTGATCCTACAAGCTAGTAATTTGTATTAAACAATTTGTAATACCACTTTTCAGCTTCCTACTTAAAATACTTTTATGTAAGGACGTTCCAAAAGTGGAAAAGTATTATCCAAATTATCGTAACTACTCTCTTGGCTTTTGTCATTTTAGTACTGCAAATTGGGAAACAAATTAAAAAAATCACACCATTAAATAGAACACGAATTTGATTTATATCATAAGACATCATTTAAATTTTAAAATAAATAACGAATTAACATCTTAATAGCATGAATTGTGGTTGATCCTACAAGCTAGTAATTTGTATTTAACAATTTGTAATACCACTTTTCAGCTTCCTACTTAAAATACTTTTATGTAAGGACGTTCCAAAAGTGGAAAAGTATTATCCAAATTATCGTAACTACTCTCTTGGCTTTTGTCATTTTAGTACTGCAAATTGGGAAACAAATTAAAAAAATCACACCATTAAATAGAACACGAATTTGATTTATATCATAAGACATCATTTAAATTTTAAAATAAATAACGAATTAACATCTTAATAGCATGAATTGTGGTTGATCCTACCAGCCAGTTATTTGTATCAAATAATTTGCAATACCACTTTTCAGCTTCCTACTTAAAATACTTTTATGTAAGGACGTTCCAAAAGTGGAAAAGTATTATCCAAATTATCGTAACTACTCTCTTGGCTTTTGTCATTTTAGTACTGCAAATTGGGAAACAAATTTAAAAAAATCACACAATTAAATAGAACACGAATTTGATTTATATCATAAGACATCATTTAAATTTTAAAATAAATAACGAATTAACATCTTAATAGCATGAATTGTGGTTGATCCTACCAGCCAGTTATTTGTATCAAATAATTTGCAATACCACTTTTCAGCTTCCTACTTAAAATACTTTTATGTAAGGACGTTCCAAAAGTGGAAAAGTATTATCCAAATTATCGTAACTACTCTCTTGGCTTTTGTCATTTTAGTACTGCAAATTGGGAAACAAATTTAAAAAAATCACACCATTAAATAGAACACGAATTTGATTTATATCATAAGACATCATTTAAATTTTAAAATAAATAACGAATTAACATCTTAATAGCATGAATTGTGGTTGATCCTACCAGCTAGTAATTTGTATTAAACAATTTGCAATACCACTTTTCAGCTTCCTACTTAAAATACTTTTATGTAAGGACGTTCCAAAAGTGGAAAAGTATTATCCAAATTATCGTAACTACTCTCTTGGCTTTTGTCATTTTAGTACTGCAAATTGGGAAACAAATTTAAAAAAATCACACAATTAAATAGAACACGAATTTGATTTATATCATAAGACCTCATTTAAATTTTAAAATAAATAACGAATTAACATCTTAATAGCATGAATTGTGGTTGATCCTACAAGCTAGTAATTTGTATTTAACAATTTGCAATACCACTTTTCAGCTTCCTACTTAAAATACTTTTATGTAAGGACGTTCCAAAAGTGGAAAAGTATTATCCAAATTATCGTAACTACTCTCTTGGCTTTTGTCATTTTAGTACTGCAAATTGGGAAACAAATTTAAAAAAATCACACCATTAAATAGAACACGAATTTGATTTATATCATAAGACATCATTTAAATTTTAAAATAAATAACGAATTAACATCTTAATAGCATGAATTGTGGTTGATCCTACCAGCCAGTTATTTGTATCAAATAATTTGCAATACCACTTTTCAGCTTCCTACTTAAAATACTTTTATGTAAGGACGTTCCAAAAGTGGAAAAGTATTATCCAAATTATCGTAACTACTCTCTTGGCTTTTGTCATTTTAGTACTGCAAATTTGGAAACAAATTTAAAAAAATGACACAATTAAATAGAACACGAATTTGATTTATATCATAAGACCTCATTAAAATTTTTAAACAAATAACGAATTAACATCTTAATAGCATGAATTGTGGTTGATCCTACCAACTAGTTATTTGTAATACCACTTTTCAGCTTCCTACTTAAAATACTTTTATGTAAGGACGTTCCAAAAGTGGAAAAGTATTATCCAAATTATCGTAACTACTCTCTTGGCTTTTGTCATTTTAGTACTGCAAATTGGGAAACAAATTTAAAAAAATCACACCATTAAATAGAACACGAATTTGATTTATATCATAAGACCTCATTAAAATTTTTAAACAAATAACGAATTAACATCTTAATAGCATGAATTGTGGTTGATCCTACAAGCTAGTAATTTGTATTTAACAATTTGTAATACCACTTTTCAGCTTCCTACTTAAAATACTTTTATGTAAGGACGTTCCAAAAGTGGAAAAGTATTATCCAAATTATCGTAACTACTCTCTTGGCTTTTGTCATTTTAGTACTGCAAATTGGGAAACAAATTAAAAAAAATCACACCATTAAATAGAACACGAATTTGATTTATATCATAAGACATCATTTAAATTTTAAAATAAATAACGAATTAACATCTTAATAGCATGAATTGTGGTTGATCCTACCAGCCAGTTATTTGTATCAAATAATTTGCAATACCACTTTTCAGCTTCCTACTTAAAATACTTTTATGTAAGGACGTTCCAAAAGTGGAAAAGTATTATCCAAATTATCGTAACTACTCTCTTGGCTTTTGTCATTTTAGTACTGCAAATTGGGAAACAAATTTAAAAAAATCACACAATTAAATAGAACACGCATTTGATTTATATCATAAGACCTCATTAAAATTTTAAAATAAATAACGAATTAACATCTTAATAGCATGAATTGTGGTTGATCTTACCAACTAGTTATTTCTTATACCACTTTTCAGCTTCCTACTTAAAATACTGTTATGTAAGGACGTTCTAAAAGTGGAAAAGTATTATCCAAATTATCGTAACTACTCTCTTGGCTTTTGTCATTTCAGTACTGCAAATTTGGAAATAAATTTTAAAAAATTACACAATTTAATAGAACACGAATTTGATTTATATCATAAGACATCATTTAAATTTAAAAATAAATAACGAATTAACATCTTAATAGCATGAATTGTGGTTGATCCTATAAGCTAGTAATTTGTATTTTACAATTTGTAATACCACTTTTCAGCTTCCTACTTAAAATACTTTTATGTAAGGACGTTCCAAAAGTGGAAAAGTATTATCCAAATTATCGTAACTACTCTCTTGGCTTTTGTCATTTTAGTACTGCAAATTGGGAAACAAATTTAAAAAAATCACACAATTAAATAGAACACGCATTTGATTTATATCATAAGACATCATTTAAATTTTAAAATAAATAACGAATTTACATCTTAATAGCATGAATTGTGGTTGATCCTACCAGCTAGTTATTTGTAATACCACTTTTCAGATTCCTACTTCAAATACTTTTATGTAAGGACGTTCCAAAAGTGGAAAAGTAGTATCCAAATTATCGTAATTACTTTATTGGCTTTTGTCATTTTAGTTCTGCAAATTAGGTAACAAAATTAAAAAAATGACACATTTAAAAATTTAAGACAAATAGTTGATTTAAATGAAAAGACTTAATTAAAAATTTATTCTTTTGTCATTTAAGAAGAAAACTTTGTTTACTTGACTTCTATATATCTTACTTACGTCGTTATCGTCCTTCACTCTATCACTTGACTATACATAAACTCAAGATATAGTATGTACTTCGTTTTTTTATGTTAACTTTGTTGAATTATTTTCAGCAGACACTTCTGTAATTGGCAACTGGCTTCCGTTAGTCGAAAACGTCTTCATGGTAAATTTGAAAATACCTCAAACACCAGCAAACCACCAAATCTGCTGTCGACGCACAGACCCTTATCTGTCATGTCCAATGTTCATTGGGCAGTCGTGCTGTGATTTCTGGTCTTTGGAAAGCTACGACGCAATGGTCATCCTGAATTTTGCAATATAGAACGGCCGGTCCTTATAGATTGCCGCTTGATAGTGGTCAACGAAAAGACGAACACTTACGAACGACATACGCTATCAGGTAGTACGAGAGAGCGTTTGCCAGGGTGAACGTGGCGGTTAGATGGTACAAGCGAATCATCCAATCAAAAACAGAACGACGACAGTGAACTGACTGACATGGTAGTCGATGACATTTGCGTTACGCCAAAAAATAAAACGGAGAAACCTAACGACTTCCATACCTTTATCTAAGATAGTAGTACATAATATTCTATAATAAGGTAGGTGTTTTTTTTTAAAAACTATCGATAGTAAAATACTTTGTCCACATTATATTTATTGAATGTGTTTAATATGCAAGGTGGTTTTATTATTATGGGCCACGCAATATCTCACTGGATTTAATTAATAATTTAGGTATTCGGTCATGTTGTTTTTTTTTATATATATATAAAGTGATCTCAATTTTTTACAAATTTCTTATGCAATATTAATTACAAATTTAATCATGTATGTTAACTTCATCTACATTACCTATCTATCTTAATTTGACCCCTATATACTCACACCACGTATTATGGCGTGATCGATTATCATTTTCCATAAATTGTGTTCACCGGCATTTTTGTTTGTTTGTCTGCAGTGTTACTTTGCCGATCGTGTATGCCGCCCTGTCGATTCAGCATACAATTTCCGACAATGACCAACATCAACTTGGTATGTACAACCGTTCTGCATTAAATCATATTCGATTCTGTTTTTCATTAGTGACAATTTTATTTTTAGTCGCCAGATTTATTTCCTGATGAGCCGGATGTTTTATTCGAGTTTATCCCCCGGACATTTTGGAGTGACGATGGGTACAACGGGACGTCGAACCAGCCATACTTCTAGCGTTTGCTGATGTGGCTGAATTGGACTGGTGACCTTTTCGAACCGTATCGCTCTGTACGGGACGAAGGGTTGAATCTCCGTAATGTGGCGCCTCTAAAAATTCTTTGGTGATTTGCTTCATCTGTAAATGACAATATTGTTTGTCTTAATACATCTAAGCTCTGGCTGTGTGCGCAGTTGATTATCGGTTGTTCAACAACTGTCTTGCAGTGATATCGGTTAACTGGTAAATGTTGGGCAGCTCACCTTTCCTTATATGCTGCTGTTCAGTCGTCCCCCACCGTGTGTGTGTGCGTGTGTTGGTAGGAGGTAGTGATACATGATAACAGGAGCATGATATCAAGAGTGATAACAGGAGCACATACGGCCAAAACACACTACTCATAAATGTTAATACTGTTTTTAATGTATCGTTGGCTTAGTGCCCACTTGTTAAAATTCACAAAATTATGGATGTTCGTAAAAGAATCTAAAACATTTTCATCAAAAACGACACGAATAACGTAATCTGTTTTTAATTAACTAAAAATGTTTTTTTTTCTTAACACAGATACAAAGTCAGGCGCAATCAAACGGTGTACAAACAACAAACAACAATGATCTCCAACCAAAAACCATTCGTTGAAGAAAGCATCAGGAAAGAAGAACCAAGCTCCACGCATCATCGATAACAACAACGGCATCACCGCACCGTAATCACTCTAATACTCTTTCTCTCCCTTTCATGGTTTAGACGGGTCCAGCAGCAGCAGCAGCAGCTTGCTTTGGGATGATGACGGCAACCCCGTCCCCATCCCACCATTGCCTCCAGTGTAATTTATGTGGGGAAGGAAATCAAGCTAAGATACATGATGTACATATATGTAAAAATGATATGTTTTAATAATGTGAATACTATAAAAGAAATTGTAAAATTTTAAAGAAACGTGGTTGTAATAATAAGAAAAATCATTGTTTTACGCAATGAGAAATTGTATAATGTTCAATATTGTTGAAACAAAAAAATTGTATTTTTTATTATGAAAGGGAAAATTAAATTGAAAAATGGATGTTTAAATTTTAACAAAAATAAATTCTGTTATATGATATATTATGAAACCACTGCTCGTACATCTAAGTTCATCTCGTTCATCTGAAAAATAAAAATAAAACGTAGGTCTAATATTATTATTATTTTATTTAAAAAAAAATGTGTTAACCACAGCAAACAATATACAAACACTTACAATCTATTTATCTTCATTTAATTGTACAACATTCCAACAAATTATTATGATAACAGAACACAGTACCTATTCCGACAACGCATAGATAGAAATTTGATATATACATTACATGGGATGAAAATAGAATTAGGAACAATTTCAATTTATTTACAAAGAGCGATACATTAACACCGATATAACTAATATTTTAATCTAAATGTTCAAATTACACATAATCTTGTTACTGATTGTAGATTTGTTGTAAGACGAAAACTTGTGTTTAATATTGTAACTTCAACTTACAAAATATACATTTGACGCCATAGTTGAAATTGTTGCATTTTATTTTATTTAAAAAAAAAAAAAAATGTCTAGTTGTGAAGAAAAAGCTGTAAATTATATAATTAAATAATTATACTAGGTTATTTAAAATAAGAAGTTTGTAAAATAATTTATTATTGTATTAAACTTGTGATGTTTGTTTTGCAAACTTATTTTGTATTGTTTGTAGCAGTAAAAATATATTTATTAAGAATATTATTGTTTTAATTTTTTTGTTTATATTTAAAATTAATAATTACGCATAATGTATTATCATATCTTGTTGAGTACCAATTATTCTGTATGTAGTGCAAATTATTTAGTTTTTAAAAAAACAATCGACAAACAAAATTATACAGCACTATCTTTTCGATAATGCAACAACTGACATTAAGATTTGATTAAAAAATGAAAGTACTATCTTTACATTTCATATTATATAATAATAATAATTAGGATCGAATACTTTTTAAACTTTATGTTATTTAAATTATTATTATAATAAAAATATTTAAACAGTTATCGTTGACAGTTAATTTTTTTAGTATGAACGTTCTTATTCCACGTTTAAGATAAACTGTATAACTGTACTCTGTGAACAAAATTAAATTATTAACAGAGTCAGTATAATATTATTTTAAAATTTTGATCTGAAGTATTTATACTAATAGTAACTAATGTTTGTGTAAACAATAATTTTGCATTTTTGCGGTGACTTATCAAGAGAATATTTAAATTTAAAAAACCACAAAATATTGCATGTTTTTACACGCATAATACATTTTAAATTATAACTGACCTAATTGCAAATACTTTGTACACATTAGCCACATAATTCAGTTTAATTGTGATTTTTTTTTTTTTTAATCATAGGTCAGATATTAAATTACACATTTGATTAAAGCCACATCAAATTATCTGACTTGTACATTCTCTTAAAAATGCTTTTGAATAGAGCAATAACATGGACTTTAAATAGCAATAACTTTTGAACCGTAAAGTGTTTTTAACATTTTCTACTTTCAAATATTAATTTCTAACAGAATAATGTTTAAAAAAATATGGGGGGTTCCCATTTAAATTCACAAAAGTTGATACCATGCGTGCGCAAACTACTTAAGGTAAGATTTTGGATTTTAGCCTTAAATGTGCATAAAATAACATCTGCCAACATCCAAAAGTCAAAATTTGATAAAAATCAATAACGGCTCGAAAAATTGACCGTTTTTGAACACCCTGTATGTATTATCCCTTATATGTTATTTTATTTATTTTTATATTTTATATCCAATATATATATAGTTTGTACTATATTTTCTATTTACAACCTAATCATATATACTACAGCAATAACCATATAATATTAATATTTTTGGTAACAAAAATATTTTTTAACTTTTAATTTTATAAACGTACAATTTGACAAATATGATAACGATTATACTGTTTGCTATGAAACATGTAATGAAATTGCAAAATATGTAAATCCCAATATACAAACTTTTTTTTTTTTACCAATACATTTATTTATTGACATAACTACTCTATTAATAGTATTATTACTTTTTTGTTTTATTTTCGATTTTATACCTATACCTTAGTGAATTTTATAATAGTAATTTTTTTGGATTAACAACTGCTGTAATTTTTTGTCTTTGTTATATACTAATGTAATTATTGTGATTTATACCGTTGTATCTATTTAATAGTACATACTATGTACTGATTAGTAGGCTGTGTCCTCGCGGCAACCCATAATCTGGGTAGCACGCCATCATTATTTTATTAATAAAGGTTGTATCTCTCTAATGTTAATAGGAATTATTGTAAGAAAAAGATTAATGTTTAATATTATATGTATTAACCCTTAACACCTACACTGCTGTGTATGTAAACAGCAGTTATTTGAATGGGTCGTATAATAAAAAATATATTATTTAATGTATATTAAATTATTTTATTTATTTTTATATTTTTGTAGCTAATATATATATATTTTATTTTATAATTTTCTGAATAATAACTTTAATCGATTATAATAATCTTCTTTTTTTTTTTAATCATATAATCTAGAATAATAGATTAAATGTTGTAAAACTTTTGAGAACTAAATTAGGGTGATATAATTTTTGAGATTGAATGAGTAATTTGAATGTGCTGGTATGATGTTATGTTTAAAAAAAAACCAGAATAATAGAGAATATTCTTAGTAGAATTGTGCATGCTAAAATGAACTTGAGTACGATTGAATATTGCTAGCAGATGAAAATAATACTTCACTAAACGTTTATTAAATTTGAATTTTCTGGCAATTTTGACGGATATTAACTTTTGGGTATAGTGTGCGTGTTCAGCAGACTCCGAGCTATAAAACCTTTGAAATTTCATGTCTAACTAAGGTGTAGGAAAAAAAGTTATGCATTGAATTGTACACAAGTGTCGAAATCCTATGTTAAATCCCATTTAATTTTCAACCCTTGTGGGGCACGGGTTAAAATTAATATTAATCACATTTTTTTTTTAATCTTATTTTTATTGTGTTTAGAAACTTTTTAGGGAGCGTCGAGGTTAAAATTCGAAAATCTACTTTTTAAGGACCACCCTGGAATATATATAGGTATGCCTAAAATAAGAATAAATTATTTCAATCATTCTAAAGAAAAAAACATGTAAACATGTATGTATTATAAAATTTTGTTTCCATCCATACACTTTAAAGTACAGTGTAATGTCTATTTGTATAGCATACTTACTTTTTGTATTTTATACAAATCAAATTGTCATACAGTAGCACCAAGAAGTATAGGCAAATGCGGTTTTTTTAAATCTATTTTTTTTTTCTGTATTCTGATACAATTATCTGCAATGTTGGGTTAATTTCTAAGGCAGTTCTTCGTTAGGTTATACTTGATGGGTAATTATTTTGAAAATTTGCGAAAACTAGTATGATATAATTTTTTTATCAATATATTATGTAACTCGATAAAAGAAAAACGCACTCTTTTGATTCTGACAACTTGGAAATAATTTGAATTTTAGGTAGATTGAAATTTTTCGGTGCTGCCCGTTGTGGTTTTACGGCGTACCAACCTAACTTGGACAGGCGGCCGCGTTAATAAAAATCGCGCGGATACATGTAACAGTAGCGACTGCTGGCTTAAACCAAATTGGACTGTTTGAAAAATATCGACCGATAGTATTTGTATTATTTTTTAATAATTAAATCGTCAACTATGAATTTTAACCGCTGTAAACCGTTTCATATACACCAGACGACGACCCCGGACAACGGTAATGATGCCATACCGATGGTGGTCGATGGCGACACTGAGGAACAGGTTGCCGGCCATGGACCAGCGACTCCGTCGAGCACTACACCGAACAATGGCGGCGGCGAAGACGGGGCAAGCCTGAGACGGCGAAGGCGATCCAAGCGAAGGTGTGCATCTCGTCGTCGGAGTCGTTCCAGGAGTCGCAAGTCCCGCAAAAGTTGTGGCCGGAAAAGAAGCAGAAGTCGGAAGAGGTCGAAGGGGCCAGCAGGTCACTATGACGGCAGACCGTCGGCCAACGCAAATGCCGACAACGCCGGGACCATAACGACAGCTGTGGCCGCTGATGAATTCGTAGACCTGTGTTGAAGCCGCCTGCGATAGATCTTGATCTACATATGCGATTGACAAATAAAATCTGATCCTCGATCGTGACCTAATCCATTTTTTATATAGTAAACCGGGGCACAGTCCAAAACGAGTACAGTCGGGAAGAAATTCATCACCACCTGAAACGGTTTGATGCAAATCTGTTCATGGTAAGAATCCGGCATAGTGAGAAATTGCCAATAGCCGTCATGTATCCATAGATAGGCATCGAAGCGTTTGCTTATGTGTGATTTTATTACTACCTACTATACCTCTTTTATTGTTACCGCTAGTCTGGAAGAACAGCTGGACGATACACCTACACTAGTCTAATTTTCAGCTCTAAGGGTTGCAGGCTTATTGAAATTTGGATTTGAGATTATTTGCAAAGTTATAGCAAGTCCAAGTCTACCAGGTCTATGAGGTTGAAAACATGTTAGTCCACAAAAACTAAATATTTGTTTCGATCAACTTTTGATAAACATTTTTGAAACTTGTATTTTCTCCAGCGACGAATCAGTGTTGTGAGAAGTGAGTAACAATTTCAACTAGCGTTTTGGACACTGAGAATCATTTTGAAATCTACATGGTTGGTATATAATTTTAAGAAGAAATGTTAACATGGTAACAGATAAACTGCACCCAGTCACATTAAATATGTCACTTCAAAATTCACGGTAGAAAATGGCGGTAGAAAATCATTACTTCTATAAATTTCAGTATCAAACACTTAAAAATAAGTCAAATTAAATACTATTGAGATCTCTGATTTTTAATTTGGTGCCAGTTTTCAATTTTACTCTTAGCTGATGGGATGCGGTGAAGACAATCATTGCCTATACATTTTTATATTAAAATAAAGTGTAAAAAAAAAATTTACATTTATGAAAAATGTGTATACCTACTCTTATATTATAGGCCATAAAAAAAAATATTTGTCGATATTGAGTTAACAAACATTCATTTATCATTTTACATATCGTCGCCTAAGAACCATCATGGCCAATCTCAGCTTTCACAACATTTCAGGAGGAACAAAAAACCGTTTTGTTTGTAGGAATTTGTTAATTTGGTATATCCCTAAAAAGTTATATTTACCAAAAATTTATTTTTCCTAAATATTCATGAGATTGGCCTTGATATTATAATATTTACACCTAAGATAGGCCATGATTAGGATAAAATAAATCAGGTTTCCAGAAATACAGAAAAAAAAAATTATGATTTTACTTTTATATTTATACCTGATAACTCTTTCAAAATGAAATAACTAAATCTTTTAGTTTCAATATCACTGTTACTCCCTTGAATATCTCTGTTTAATATTATAGTTTTAGCTTATAACTATAAATTTAAAAATAATAATAGGAAAACTGTTCAATCACTTTAGTTTATTTTTTAGGTTTAACTTATTGCCCCTGTTTTGTTGCTTTGTGAGCTTTTTGTTTTTCTGTCTTCTTAGCCTGCCTGTATGAGATGTCTGCACGAGGGAGAAGGTCATAATAGTTGTGGCAATCATGAGGGATGACGGTTTTGATATCTTGTTAATCTTTCCATTTGTCTTTGGGTTTTTTTACTGGTCCTATGTTGAGGGGTAGAAAAACAAATTTTCCTATGCTTACATTTTTCTTGGGCCTAACAGGAAGAGGCTGAAGCTGTGTTAAAAAGTCTATAGAGTACTTAATTTCACCAGTTGGATCATATTGCAACCATCTCATATCAGTAACTACTGGGTCGCCACTTTTTCTGCCTTGGCGGATACTGTCATACATCATATTTTGAGACTTTGAAAAATCTTTGAAGAATTCCCAGTTTAAAAACTTTACTCGGTAGGGAAATGGGGTTTTTCTTGCATTCTTGGTTATCTCAATAAACTGGGATGGTAAATACATTTGCTTGCAGTTGAGGTACCAATTTGACTGCCATTAAGTCACAGCATAATTTGTAGCATTGTTTGTTCTCTGCCAAACTCTTTTCAGCAAATTTTTTGTGCTCTGGCTTCGTCCTTTCTTTTTCTGTGAGCGTTAAAACTAATCTCAGAAAGATTTCCAGCTTTGTATTGGCAACAGAGGTCGCATTGGTCTTTTCGGGGACTATAGATGGCAATTTTTTCAGCTTTACATAATCGATCAAATGAAAACCTACTGAAAGGCAGGACTGATGTATTTTTTGAATACTCAACATATAACTGGTACATTTGGGCGTGCTATCTAATATCTGATTGAACGTACAACTTTGAAGAACTTTGACGACAATAGTGGGATGGAATCTCATCCAAGAACATTTTCATGGTTTCTTGTCGCTGCTGATTTCCCCGTTCAAGTGACGATTGTTCCTCTACATTACTGTCATTTTCTTCAGGAAGAAGTAGAAGGTGTTCTTCGTCTTCAGGTACAACTCCAAGGGAAGAATAACTAGCTATCTAGCGTTTGATTGATGACCACTTCTAATGACAACAATCTAATGTATTTATAAAAATATTTTTACATACGGTTATCTCCAACTTTTAAATGATAAATATTATATTATATTAGTGCTTATTACACATTATAATATATTAGTGCTATATTTTACACTATGTTTTGGGAATAAAAGTAATTTTGTTTACCCTTCGGGCAATATTTTGTTAATATAATAATTAATTAAGACTTTTCCTAAACAAATAAACATCGCACATCTTTATGCCATCTTGTTTTATGTTATTTCAAAGTCATCAAATTAAAAGTAGAAGTCCAAAAACCATAACAGTGGAAAATTAATAAAGCTTAACGCCGGTTACACTTAATCATGTGATACTTTTTATTTAAAAATTGTTTTCATTTTTTGAACTTAAAAAATATTTAAATATATGTTTGACAAACTTTTATAATTTCAATATTCTTTTACTATTTTAGTCAATTCGATTAGTCTAAAAGATCTTAAAAAAATTCAAATTTTTAATCTATATAAATTTCTATTTTTTTTTTTTTTAATTCCTTAGTGTTTGATAAGTTGAATTTATCAAGAGAGACGTTTACTCAATACTTCGGTAGTAAAAATTAAGGGGCAAAGAATAGGCAATATTTGATAAAAATTCTAGTCTAGTAGCCATTTTTAGTATTCCAACTGAAAAGAGTCCTATTTACCGAACCAACAACTAAACATCACAGTTTAACCTTTAAATAAAGATTTTTCAAAAAATTGCCTATACCTTACTCCTTAATAAATAGAGTGTAAGACGCCCTCTTAATATTTAAGAATTTTTGCCATACGGTAACATGTTTGCTATATAATAAATAATATAATCAAAACGGTTTTAAAAAAAATAGTTTCTGGCCACAATTTCAAAGTTTTTTTTCTAAATGTTATCAAAACATATTTCTCTGTGGTATTGCACAATTTAAACTGCTCGAAAATTGCCTATATTTTACTCCTGACATGTTTGCATTGGCTTTTGAGAGTTGCAAAATGTCCACTAATCTTACATGATTCTTTTTTTTTAATAATTTAAGCAAATGTAGGTACTTGTTGTTCAACATTTGCAGAATTCACCACACTCGAGTTTATTATTATTACTAGACGGTTGGACAAGATTTTCTATCCTATGTTTTTAGTTTTTTTAATGTTGTGTAAAATACATATTACACATTGCACAGGTATCATTTGGTTTGACTAGAGCAATCAACTCGGCTCGCTAACAAAAAATGTATTTTTTTTTTAAATTTTATTATTAACAAGAAACGCATCATATTTACAAAATAATAATAATCATAATAAATTTAAAGTAGTACATATAGGTAAATAATGTGAAAATAATAGTGAATGATAGGTACGCCTACACTTTACATGGTACATATAAATATTAGTAAACTATAATAAATACATATTATAAATACTTATGGTATAGTCGAATATAAATAATACAATTTAAGCGATAATAATATATCAAGCAAATGTAGATTTTTGCCGCTGTACGCTAATAGCCCTACTGGTTACCTAATAATTATAATATTATAGTAATACATAATATGTTTTATCGTTATACAATATATAATAATAATAATATTCGAGAAAAAAAATAATAAATTACTAGAGAACAGACAAACGATAAAAGTGTTGACGAAATAACTCTAATTCGTGTACCTACATATTGCATACTATTATTACAATATAATGTGTATATATATATATATATATATATATATAAAATAAACAAATAACAATTATTGTTTTGTTATTTTTTTTTTATCATGTAATCTGAATATTAAAAAAAAAAAAGACATACCACCACTACTCTGTGTAATAGGTGGTCCATCATATATTCTGGATGATTTTTCATATTGACAGCGGTCAAAATGGCTTGATGATTTTTTTTTTTTATATATATATTTATATATTATCATCATCATCGTTTAACGCGTATAATAATGTTAAATACAACACATGTATATACTATCGAGTAATTATATTATACAGGGTGTTTCGAAAAGAACGGTGGGGTTTCAAACGGCTGTGGGTTGTAAAGTATTGGACCTTCGGCGCTCTGGGTGGGGCTTCAATGAAATAGGGAGTTGCCAAGTTTCGAATCACAGTCACAGCCGTAACTGAATTACACTTTGCGAACTCGATCACTTCTGTTGTGCGGACGCCATTTCAACAAACTCAAACACAAACGGGAACGTGGAAAGACCAGCTAGTGGCAGTCAACTCCCTATTTCGTTCGAGCCCTGCCAGAGAGCTGTAGGTCGTCCAATAGTTCACAACTTACAGGCGTTTGAAACCCCCCCACCGTACTTTTTGAAACACCCTGTACATAAAAGGTAGTACACGACGGGGCAGAAGGTACGGGCGACTTTTGATTTCTTATGTTAACACTTGGTTTGTGTGTGTGTGTGTGTGTGTGTAGATGTATGTGTGTAAGTGTGTATGTGTGTTTGAGAGTTGGTTCGGGGGACACGAGAGCGTTTTTCGTATGGTTCGCCCTTGCCCCTCACGGCGTGCACGACAAATAGATGTTGTGGGCGGCGTTGACTGGTGCGGTGCTTGAACGGGCAACGTGGTGGTAGTGTATTGCCGGCCCGGGCTTTTATACCTGCAAACAAAAAACGCAAAGAGTTAGTCAAAAAGTCGGATGGTAAGTCGGCGGGGGTGGGGGGGAGAGGTGGTCTCGTGTGGCTGGAGGGCTGTTAGGTCAGGTCAGGGTCGGAGGCCTATATTTCGGGCGTCGGAATTCCTACGTAACACAGTAAAGTCAGCGTCTTTACAGAATTGAAATTGGACCATCTTAAGAAGTCGAAATTTGTTTAGCTTTTTTTCGTCTAAAATAACCAAATATGACAGCTGTACTGCCGTGTGCTTATAAGAAATGTCCTATTCGCATTTTGCTTGGCGCGGTCAGTCGGAAAGGACTTTTTCTCTTAGTTTTACCTCGGAAAACTGTAGACAGGACGAACCCCTTTCATGTGGTCCAGACAGCTTTGTAACGCACGTAGGACGTTCCAAGTTGGATTGAAAAATTAAAACACAAAAATCTCAAAATCGCATTTTCGTTGGTTGGGACACATGTCTTCTTAGCACGGCTACGTTAAGACCAGGTAGGAGGGGCGGCGGTGGCTGAAAGGGGTTTTGGGTCACAAGGATGTGTGTGACTCACCTTTTCTTCCTGCATGCACCGGGACGCGTACGGCTTGTACAGGTTCCTGTAGAAATTGTGTCTGACTATTTTCGGGCTGGTCTGCGTGGCCTGTGTGCACGCCGACAACGGTGGCAAGGAATCCTTACACTTGTTCCTCGAGTGCGTCGACAGGTCCAGCGCCTGAGGTTCCATCAGCGTGGCCGTCACCATGGTGTTGATGAAGCTGCAAAAAAGACGGGGGAAAAAAATCAAATTAATATCGACGTCCCTGCTTGTTGTTGTAGGGGTGGGAATATTATTTTATTGCCGTAGAAAATTACCTGGACTTGTTGTAACAGTTGTCGATGGCGTACGCCGGAGGGAGAAAAATGTCCGAGACGGGTGGTCGCGACGCAGACTATTTAAAAAAAAAAAAACACAACACAATATTAAAATTAAAATTATGAAGAATTCTTAAAATTTTGGATAAGAGAACTCGAGTTAGAGTTCCCTTGTGTCCCTTTTTCTCTGGGTGTTTTTATAAAGAAAAACATGCGGACAATCTTACCAGTGGAGCCGGGCTGAAGTAACTGTTGATCTTGCTGTGCAGATCGGCTGGACTCAGCCTGAGACCGGGGTGTTCGACGGCGGCGGCCGCTGCTGCTGCTGCGGCGGCCACGGCTGCCGCGGCCGACGCTCCCGAAAGGCCCAGGGAGGATATGTGGTGGTGCGCGGCCGCTGCGGCTGCCAGGTGTGTGTTGTTGGTGAGTTGCTGCTGCTGTAGCTGTTGTTGCTGTTGCTGTTGCTGCTGCTGCTGCTGGATGTGGGGTATGGTGATGTTGGTGTGCTGCTGGTGTTGATCGGGACTGCGGCGGACGACGGCCGGGGCGGCGCACGTGTCCGGGCTGCTGAACCGCGACCGGCTGCCTTCCCGCTCGTCCGTGTAGCACGTCGACGAATTGTTGTCCGACTCGACGGAGAACGACCGCTTCGAGCGGTTGTCGTCCGACTTGTAACCGTCCGAAGACGACGTCGACTTGGTCTTCAGCTCGTTGTACTTGGCCTCCGCCTTCATGACGATGTCCTTGTTCTTGAACCAACCGCGGAACGTCGACTCGGCCACGTGCAGGCTCCGGGCCACCTCGGCCTTGGAACAGCCGGTCATTTTGATGCGGACCAGGGCGTCCACCTTCTGGTCGATGGTGAACAGCCGCTTGCCGTTGCTGTACGTTATTGGCGATTCCTTCTTAAGGCTCACCTCCATTGTCGGCACCCTGCAACAAGATCAACACGTCCATATAGATACAAGTTCTAAAATTGGCCAAACCTAACCTAACCTAACCAAACCTAACCAACCTAACCTAACCAAACCTAACCTGACCTAACCTAACCTCTCAAAAGAGCTTTATCTCAAGTTCGAATCGACCAGTTCTTGGATTTTCCCAATTGCTACTCTACCGGTTATTCTAGTAGTCAGGTTGTGTTTGCCAATTGCCGGCGAAACCGGTACACGCTGCTGTCGTAACAAAGATTAAAAATAAGCTGGTTGCGTTGCATAACGAGCCACGAAAAAAGCTTTCGAGTTTCTAGAAACTTCAGTGGGGACTGTACAATAGAACCCGACGCTAACAACCGTCTTCGAAGTCAGAATTGGATGCGGTTGCCATTGAATATGTAACGCCGGTTCGACTCCCGAATTGGACCAGATTAATTACTCAAATCGGATGGGAACGATCTCGGGAAGCTCGGGTCAGGAAATCTGGATCCGGCTCCCTTCAGATATGACTTGGAAATGACATTTCCACTCGGGATCACTACCAAAACCGTAAATTAGCGTTCCATCACTTAGCATTCATATTGAAAGTATCTAAACGACAAGAAACTCTATCGTTTACCAGAAGTGTTGCGTTCAAAAACGACAAGGAGCGCCGGTAATGATTTTCAACTACACGCGACCGTGATAACGAAGAATCCTGTGAAATGTGCGGCTTATGAATGGTTCGCGAAGTCGGTGAATTTCACCCAATTGACCGAGACACCAACAACGGCGGTCGTTCGCGGTATTGTCAGCGTGAAAATTATATATTCCAACGACGGGTCTTGTGCTCTGTATGCGGATCGCGTGTCGGGTACGGCGACAAAAGCCTGGGGCGAAGGGTTTGGCGAACATGTAATGACCGTTCGAACAAAAGAGACGACGTCACATCCAGTGTCACCGCCACGGCCGTTGCTAAGATATATGCGTGGACCTACACACGACGGATAGGTTCGCACAAAGGTCGCCGGGTAGGGCAATGCCGTGGGTCTACCAGTAGGCGAGCGGTGTGTGTGTATGTGTGTGTGGAGTAGAGTTACCGTTGACGGGTATGGCGTGTATGCGGCCAAACGTGCTGGACCGTACGAAACAGGTACCTATACACACACACGCACAGATTGGATACAGAAGAGGACGGCCGAAGGGTCCACGGGTGAAGGAGGACGCGTGCAAGGTTTCGTGTGTGCGAAGGGAAAAAAAAAAAAGAAACCAACCCCACGTACACGACGCGGATTATATTTTATACGCGGGTGGGTCGCTTTTTTTTCCCCAGAGTTTCGCCGAAAGGAAATGAATGGTGACAAAAAAAAAAGAAAAAAAGCCCGAGTTAGCCCGAACGAGGAACGCAGTGCTCGTGTATTGATCGCGTCGATCTCCTCGATCTAACACCGAACAAGTACGTCACGTTATTTTTTCGGTGTCAATTCTAATCAGATTAATCTAGGAAATACAACCCAAACTAGATATTGAAATCCACACGTCCTACACGTAGATGTATAAGAAAATAGTGCAAACGCAATTGAATAGACTTGTGGAATACTCGTGGACCGAGATCGTCCAGTCCAATCCAACCCAATTATTGACAGGCAAAGTACCAGGCTGGCCAGGTCCACAAACTATTAGGCGTATTACCGGGGAATGCCCAGAAACAATGTTTAGCCGATATGATTAGCAGGTCTACTCCAATAAGGACGACCGAGAAGCTACTTAGATAGGCTACTTAATCTTGCCATCCCGGTTGTAGCACTGCGTTTTCTATGCAATTATTGCACAAGAACCAGCAAAAATCTAGAAATGTACTAGTAGTTTTCTATTTTTCGGATAAGCCGTGCCGTGCACAATAGTGGCGGCCGATTCCACGCGGGATTCCCGCCGTCGATAGAGGTACCCTAGGGTGTTGGTTTACCGTCCGGCTATGACGAGGGTACCTCTGTGGACGGCGGGAATCCCGCATGGAATCGACGGCCGTTGTTGCGTATACCGTGGCGCTTATATTGTAATATATGATTTTTTTGTGTAAATCCAACAAAGAATAAAATATCTCACCTACTCTTTTTCCGACCACCTCGACAATGCACACAATAATATTATCTAGGTAGGCACATCCGGCTAGGTAATTCATCAATAACAGGTAGGTAATTCATCCGCCGGAATACGAGGTAGGCTTTGGATTTATATATACACCAGAAAACGATAATAAACTACCAAACCAGTGTTTGGATTAATTAAAAAAAACCCAGCGCCGAGTGTCGTTTTTTATGTCGTTGTTGCACTGGTAGTTTTTGTCACTCGCGTTAGCTACGATTTTTTTAACCGTTACTTATCACCTAACCCAACCCAACCTATCCGGAAGGGAGGTTTAGGTCCGAGCCTGGGCCGTACGTTCCAAAAAAATATATAATTACGAATACGTAAGCTCCAAACAGCTGGACCGAAACCGTTGACGGTCATTTTTTAAAGACCCACTCTTTAAAAAAAAAATGTTCGTACCGAAGATAACCAACGGCCGCACGCGTTATGTAACTAAAAAATTATTGTAAGTTTAAAGCGGTTATAGAAAATTAAAAAAAAAAAGGCCAATAATTTTGATCGTTTCTCGACAGAGCCAAATCAGAGAGATAATTATTACAATAAAATTAGATACGGATACACGGACGAATGGAAATTTATTATTGAATGTAAATTCGAAAAAGCGCGGGCGATTTTATTTTTATACTATTATTAACTACTCCTCCGCGCCCCGCCGGTTTCATTCATCACTCGACGGGTCGGGAAAACCGACCGTTATTTACTACTCGGAGTAATTTAAAACCAAGCGATACGTTTTTTACTACTAAAAAAAAACAACGACACGACCTTTTTGTTAATAATAATAATAACAACAATAATACTCGACTACGACAGCGGATGTCGGATGTCGACCCCGTTAAAAAAATACAAATAATAATATTATATTGTATAAAGTATATGATATAAACACCAACAATGTTTATTATTGAAAATGTTAAAAAAAAAATTTACTACAAAAACGGTAGCGGTCTGAACTTTGGACGTCGCGTTAGGAGGGAAAAATCTAGTATTTTTTTAATTATTTATTAATTTTTAATAAAAAAAAAAAGCAAAACGTACATACTTGGAAAACTTGGAAATTCCGGTTAGGACTTTTTTCTCGGCTCCTGCCTTTCTTTCTCGTTGGCCTTGTCCTCCTGTCTTGTTGTTATCCAACGCGGTGTCTAGGTCCGGTACTTAAACAACGACGGCGCCGACAACCACCATGGCCGGGATGTAAAGTATTTTTTAAAAAACCGAATTAACACAAAAAAAAAAAATTTGGAAAATCCCAAAATAAAAAACGCAACGCACAAATTTTAAATTAAAAAAAAAAAAAGACACAAAAATTATTATTATTCGTCTTTTGAGAAAAAAATAATAAAACGTTTTTCAATAAGTCTTTTTAAGAGTATCTTTTTTTTAAATTTCTGAGAAAAAAAAAAACTCGAAAATTTAATAAAAAAGCGACGAGGTTTCGACGAAAATCGGACGTTCAGTGGACGACGACGGGTGCGCAGACGAATGTCGACCGGCGTCCGCGAAACGTGTGGCGGTAATGAGCAGAACAGCCGCCGCCGCAGCCGGCGGCACTACCGCACACCGTCGTCTCTCTTCCTCCTACTCCTCCTCCTCCGCCGCCGCCGCCGCGGACGCCGTCAAAGGGCGCGCGTCGAGGAGCGATATAATATATATATATATATATATACGGTAATACGCACGTCGCACGCACGAGGCGGCCGCCGTACGTGTATGTGTGCGAGCGAGAAGAATTGGAAAATGTCATATGTCCAGCGGCGGCGGCGACGACGGCGACGGACACAGCGGGAGGCCGCGTAAGACATCCCCCCGAAAAAAAAAAACCAACCGCATCGTAATAATAATAATAATAATAATAGCGCGACGGCCGTCCGCTCTCTCGAGCATACAGTTTTCACTATTTTTTTTTTTTTCGCTTATATGATAATAAATATTATTAAACTACCTAGCCGTGTTTGACTGAAAACGACCAGGCGACGACGGACTATCGCTTTGTAAAAATTGTTTTCAATTCAACCGCACTGTATACACACGGGGATGGGCAAAAAAAATACTAGCATCTCGAGTTATTATAAGACATACTTTAAATACAGTAACTTGTAAAAAGCTGTTTTTTTTTTTTTATTTTTATTGTATTTTTAAACGTAGGCCGTCGGGTACACTAGAGCTGCGAAAATTAAAATCAAAATCCGGCCCGTTTGGACCGTAAGATGGTATTAAATTTAAAAAAAAACCACAGTTGATATTTTTTTTTTTTTTTGGAAAACAGATAAACCAATAACCTCCCCCTGCGTTGTCCCGGTTAGGTGCTGGACCGCTCTGGTGTTTTTGTTTTTTACAGTTCACCGAATCCAGCAGTGCGCGTTCAAATAAAAATACTCTGTTTTCGAATCCTTTGAAGGTAAGTGCACGTTGCCCGGTTAACCCACGGCACATCTTATATAATTAAGGCGGGTTTACGACAACAGTATATTGTTGCCTCGGTGTTTTTTTTTTTTTAGTCTGAAACATTTTTGCGCAATCGACGGCCGACTCGAGAAAATATATCCGAAAGAACCTCTCAATGGCTCTCTTTTTCTCTCTGTTTCTTTCTCTCTCTCTATCTTTCTCTATCTGTCTCTCCTTCCATACATATATATATATATATAAATTATAATTACAGACTACAGTTGATCAATTAACCGTCAGACAGTAATTTTCTCTTAAAATAATTTCGATTTCGTAGTTTTTCTTTTTGGAGTCACCTTAGTTGATGCGTTCAATTTATACTATTCGAATTTTTATCTTTTTAAATCTATTTCTCAGAGCTCTTGTCGACTTTTTGAAACTCAAACGATAACGCATAATCGGCTTCATAGACTAGAAAATGTCTACTGGTCGATAACCAGCTTTTGAATAATTACTTTTGAAGTTACTAGAGTTGAAATGTGTAATTATCCAAAACCCAAAACTAGTTAGATAGACCAGTGAAAATTCACTATTAATTTTAAACTATATTCAATGTATATACGTTGCCGTTTCAAGTTTTTAAATTGAATAGAGCCATGGAAAATATCAATTGTGGTAAATACTTCGTAATTATTGAATATTGCAGCCTCTCAATGTCTCTCTCTATTCTCGCTCTCTCTCTCTCTCTCTTTCTCTCTCTATTTCTCTCTTTTTCTCTCTCTCGCTCTCCCTCTCTCCCTTGCTCCTCTCGCTCTCCTCTCTCTCTCTCTCTCTCTCTCTTTCTCGCTCTCTCCCCCCTCCCTCTCTCTCTCTTTCTTTTTCTCTCTTTCACTCGTACCGTTTTTAAGTTTAAAAATTGTATAGACCCAGAGAAATACTAGTAACAGTGGTAAAATAGTATAACGTCAACAAAAAATGTTTTCAAAAAGAACATAATTGCTTTTGCCGCACAAATGTGAACGTCTTACGATCAAAGTCGAACACACCCTGTACCCGTGTACGGTTCGAGTTATTGCTCCACCTTTTTTTTTTTTTTTTTTTTTTTTTTTTTTAGTACTTTCGACTTTCGTTCGACCGCCGATCGGCTCGAGGTCTCTCCCGTCCCTCCTCCCCTTATACGCCTATACTTACGACCGCCGGCCGGCCCTTTATCGTCGTACCCCCTGCCCACCTCTTACCTCCCCGTCGACGCGACAAACGCGTTGATTGTACAAACGCCTCTGCCAGGCTCTCCACACGCCGCCTTCCCCTATTTTTGTACGCGCCTCAGGGTCGCCGACGTCCCGGCGCTCGTTTTATGCGTTATCCTCCGGGTTGCCGGGGACCCGACCGACGGGAAGAGGACGGGGGGAAAGGGAAGCGACGGGAACGGGATAGGATATGGGAGCGTGGGGGGGTGGGGTGGTCGGATGGTCGATCGACGGCAGCGGGGAGGGGAAGGAAACGAGCACATAAAACCGCGACTCGGCAGAAGAGACTTGGCCCTCCGAACTAGCCGGATTATTATTATTATTATTATTATTATTATTATTATTATCGTTATCGTTATCGTTATGACGACGACGACCGTGAGGACGACGACGACGATGATGATAATAATAATAATATATAGCTGTTGTCGTCGTCGTCGTCCGGTCCGCGACCGTCGGACCAGAGGGCGGCGCGAGTGTGTGAGAAATTATAACGTTGTCGGTACAATAACAATAATAATAACAACAATAATAATAATAACGTTGTACAGAGCGATTCGTTAGGACTTTATTATTTTTTTTTTTTTACCTTATTCAGCTGCGACAGGTATTGTTTTTACAATGATGTGTTTTTTGAAACTGTGTGTGTGTGTCTGTACCCACACTATAGCAACTGTGTTGGGCCGAACATTTTACAAAATTCATCCCTAATTATTGTATCCACCCACCCTAATGCTAAAAATGTATTTTCAAGCACATAATATTGGTCATTTTAGGTTTGGGGGGGAACACTGCACCCCCCCCCCCCCCTTACTCGCCGACTTACCACTACACGGTCACTTACATAATAATATGATACTTTCTCGCTGTACTCGAATTTGGACCGTACTCGGTTTAGACCGTACTGGATTTAATACTGTTTGCGGATTGGCTGTTTTATAAGCACATCGTTATTACACCAATATTACCTTCTCGGCTGGTTCGGACTGTGCTCGGTCTGGACTATGTCACTGTAGTAATTATTATTATTGTACAACACAGTGTACGATCACGCAAAGTAGTGGTTTTTTTTTCTTCTTACATATTATTATTAATATTGCATTATAATCGCATCTGTGTGGGTTGGTCGTCGGCCACAGCCGTGGTCGTCGCCGACGGAGACTTTTTTTTATGTTGGTTATTTATTTTTTTTTTTTTCATTATTATTATCTCAGTCGTCCGCGACGGCGGCGGCCTTGTTTTTGTCATTGCGAGAGACCTCCGGAGGGAAAAAAATCGATACCTTTTTCGATATAGCATAATATAGCACATAGAGTCTGTATAAGAATGGGCATAACGAGGCTCGAGGTGAGCTGTTCTCTCTGTCTGTGTGTGTGTGTGCATACCGACGTGGAGACAACGGTCCGGCGACGATGGGTGAAATTCGGATGACTTTGTAGAAGAAAAAAAAAAATAAGAGAAAAACATTATTAAATTAAAAAAAAAAACCGTACACGGATCAGATTTTCGGGTATTCGGCAAAGATGTTGGCTACACTGATATCGTCGCGAGTCCCGCCCGATCAGCCTTTTCAACGAAAATGTCGACAATTTTTCAACACACGACGTCACAAAACGTCAACTAATTACAACTGTTGTAGTGACAAAAAAAAAACAAACATACATAGGCCGGTTTTTAAACACACAGCCTTCGATTATTGGACGCATTAACCTGTTGACTCTACTCTACAACAGTGTTGTACAATGTACAGGTACCGAGCAGCTCGGTGTGTTGGGTTATTAATAATAAAAATATAATAATAATTGTTAAACGATTCAGATAACGCGCATGTAGGTACTAGGTAGGTAGGTACGCAGTAGGTATTGACGGTAAAAAATGTAAAAAAAAAAAAAACCACTTGTATATAGTAGCCCTCTCGGTTACGCCTCTGACTACAACCATGTTAATTTACTGTGTTATTATTATTATCTTTGCTCAATGCCGCCACGGACGCCGGTTTTTGCATCAATTAATAATATACAATGTACTATGGATAATATGAATACACGCTACTAGTGTAGACTCTACACTGTAGGGAATATGTGTTTTATTTTATTTTGTATAATTGTTTTTTTTTTTTTAATTTGCAATCGCCCCTCTTCCCCTTATCTTGAAATGTCCAAAATTATTAAACATTTTTGTCATCAAGAATAAGACACTTAATTTTTCTTGATAAAATAATTGCAATTACTAAATAATCATTCCAGTAATATTTTCCAGAGCCCTATGAACTTTTAAAAACTGAAATGCCAACAACCCCTCCCCCCCCCATGCATTTAACCTTTTTTTAAGTACAATTATTTAGTTGATATATCATTGTGATCCGTTAAGACTAATAATTGTAACCACAAAGTGGTTTTACTATTAATAATATTTTTCTAAAAACAAAATCCCAAAGAAACGCGTTTAAGCATTGATAATAAAACAAAATAAAATACTTAACGTTATGTTGACATTGGTTAGTTGCTTTTGCGAAAGATGGTTTTTAAAAGAGACTGTTTTTAATATTACAACCGAACATTTTTTTCGGTACCTACCTACATTTCTCAGGAATAAAATATTTTCTAATTTGAAATTATTACCTCAAAAAAAAAAAATAATAATAATAATAATATGCAATTGTAATTTTTCTCTCGGTTAAAATTGTATTCCGTTCGGTTTTTAAATGTTGAATAATTTAACATTCAATGTATATATTTTTTTTTTCGTAACACACATTTATAGAACATAATAATATAGGGAGTGGATTTTTTCGATTTTCGCATATTATTATATTTATTGGCTTCGTGCATTTCCACAGAGAATCGGTTTTGTAAAATTAATAATATTTTGCATACAAGAGCGCATTTCGGAGATTATTTTTTGGTGTTGTACTTAAAA